CATTTGAACAATTTTTATTCAAAGAAGAGTGGGCAGAATTTTTGCTGTCACAGCAATATAGTCCACCCAATCATTTCACACATGGAAAAAGAAAAATGACTATGTTAGTCTCATCTTAGTCAAGTTTACAAAACTTTAAACCCAATTTCTGTACCAATTCATTCAGTTTATTGAATAATGTTCAGTTTATATTTGCGTACTAAAAGCTTAAACTGTAAGAATTTGTGTAACAACAAAATTAATGATTGTTAGAAGGCTATCAAACATAGTGATGTTTGATGTTGCTAGTAGAAACCTGGTATTTTATAACTTGTAATGTGGTAGTTATCCCATCTTCTTCTCAACGCGAGAAATAAAACTAGATTGGTGGTTATTGATCGACTCCAGATTGAACTGTCACTATAGTGTCACCAATTTAATCAAGGCTACAGTAATTTTGGTCAATTTTTACAGGGCTGTTTTCCTTGAAAGCTTAATCTGGGAAATTGACAACTGAACTTCAGACGAAACTGTTTAGTCATGTTGATACAAAAGTGTCATTCTAAATATGGCAAAATTATTATCATTGAATTCATTCTCTGATGTTTATTGCTTCATGCATTATTGATATTTTATTTATTATTGAAAAGAGAAATTGGAAAACTGCCAGTTCATTTGATTGTCATAAAAGATAACACAAATGTTGTTGGCTTTTTTGACAAACATGCAATAAATGAATTTCAAACAAAAATTAATGCAATGTAGATATAAGTATCCAACCACTATAGCCAAAACAATTATGTGGTAACATGTTCTTGTGGTGAATATAAGAAGATATTGACCAGGCAGACATATTGATTGACTAGGCCGAACATCAGCAGACATAGATCCTGTATAACAGTCTCAATAATAAAATCTCCCTATTCATGCAAGTCATGACCATCATTGATGTCTGCCTTAAAACACTTATTACCCATCATCAATTCACATGATGGTATTAAATGAATGTGTATTATAATCAGGAGTTTTGTGTTTGAGTATTGATAAAGTAATGATTTATAGCAGCAGTCAGTCTAATTGTCTAACAGATTCTCACAGATTTCATATTACAACCATTTAATGTAATAAAAGAGACCACCCGTTTTACCTCATTACTGTCATTACAGAGAACAAAAAATATTTAAAAGATGATCAATGGAGCATTGTTTCTAAGACGAAGGAAAATATAGAATGAGTGGGAGTAGGTCTGGTACTATTCCTGATATTGTTTTTTTTTTTTTTTTTTGCATTTTGTTTTCCGATTTTACCATTTGACGTCATTTTATTCTCAAATAAAGGCAAACTGTTGCAGCTATGTATAATGCACGCAGTTTGTCCTGGAGAGAAAACCAATGAGTTTTCAGTACTCCAATAATAGCCTATAGAAATATATATTTTTTATCTGACAATGATTTTTCAATGGTAGCGTATCCCAAGTACATGTACCTGGAGAATTGAGTTAACTTCAGTAACGCTTTTGAAAAAGTTTTGTCAGTAGCAAATAAGTTGATATTTATTTTCCCAATATTATGTACTTTGATATGTTTTTAGTGTTATGTTTACATTATTAATTCTTTTGCCAATAACTTTTGAAGAAAATGACATTTCACAACCAAATTTACCATATATGGAGATATACATATTCTTGTCATTTTCATTACACTGTTGAGTCTAAAATAGTGAAATATCCAGACATCATAGAATTTGGCAATGCGCCTTTAAGAATCTCATAAAGTTCACCTATCATTAATTAGTATTTCAAAGTGGATGCTAAAATTTCAATTTTAAAACTGTAGATGGATGGAGAGGGAGAAACGGGTTTAACTTCCACTTGAAACTAACTACATGTAGGTCAGTTTGGAACAAATGTTATTTTTTAATTCAATAATTTACTTGTGTGCAGGAGTCTTTAGAAGTCTGAGAAAACCCATGTGATTAGGCAGGCGACCCCTGACTCCTTGTCACACAAAACCCACTTGAAGTCAGTCTAGGTCAGATCTATGAATATTCATGAGTAAATCAGATAACATCATGAATGAACCTATGAGTGAGTACTTATCAATAAAAACTTTTATGGTACATAATTAAAAATTCATTCAGTTGGACGTGTTTGAAAACTTGAAAATAACAGCTTAGGGCATATTATCAGTTTTGATCAGGATTGAATAAATTTAAATTTTCCAAGGTTATGTCAAATGTATTTCTATTCAAATAAGATTTTTCACAAGAAATTGATTGATTGAAATTAGATATATATCAATCATTATGTAAACTTATAGCGCGAGTGTTCAAAATTAAAGAACTTTGTGTCGGTTGAAAACACATAATTGGTAAAAAAATCCACGACAACCATCTTTGATTTATTTCACACCTAGATTAGTTCAGAGACCAACATTGAATGAAGCCAAAATATAAAACAATATACATGGTCAAGATTAGTGATTTTAACAATTTTCGCTAATTACTTTTAGAGTTATGCCACTTGCTTACTTGATAGAATCTTAATATGTTATCTAAAACACAATTTAATGATTGCATTCTGTCACATGTCGAGATTTTGACTAACAAACATTCATATCATAACTGCTGTGGTATTTTATATTATCTATATACAACTGGCCGTAGTTTTTACTTTGATGTCCATAGCAGTTATATCTCATAATAACATGTCATGACATCATCATAGGTTGATATATTCGTTCATATCAACCGCTGATGACGTCATGACAGGTATTTCATATCAACCGCTAATGACGTCATCTCAGGTCAATATATTCGGCTCATATCAACTGCTGATGACGTAGATGATCGAAATAATACAAAAAAACACAGAAATAAATTTTTATTCTTTTGACAATTAAAATTTGTTATGGTACAGTTTCTAACATTCAGGACCGAAATAGACGGCGTACTTATCGACATACATGTATTTAGATCGGTTATCCATGTCTAAGACATCTTTCAGAATTTTCTTTTCGTCCACATTGCGATTATTTCTCCACACACTACAAGACTTGAAAGTATTTATCGCCCAAGAGTTCCTTTGTAAAGTATTTTTGGGTACAGTCCACTTAAAGCAGTCGGTCAAATCCTTCTCTGAACATACCGAAAACCTTCAATCATGGATCACTGTCAGAATTCTTGGAAAAGAATGCCTTTTGGTCCAAATTTTCTGCAGGCTTTGGATAGATCCTCGTCGATATTTGCATTCACATCTATTCCATCGTCAATATGTTGGCTAAAAAGGGTTGATTATTCGTCTGACTTCGTATTACTATCCATTTTGTTTTTGCTTTCAATTCAATAGTCCAAAATGGCGACGTATAAACAAAAACATGCACGTAATTGCACGTGATTACTTCGGTAATTTTCGCTATTTGGCGGAAACTATCGAGCAATTATCCAATCGTTGTTGCCTTTTAATGGAAGAGCCCATTAAATTTAAGGGTGAAATGGCGTTGTATATGTCGGATATAAACCTACTCTCCCTCGGATTGATATGGTAGAGAACGCTTGGGCTTCGCTCGCACGTTCTCTACCATATCAACCTCGGGTAGGTTAATATCCTATACATAAATTATCTGCACAAAGTTCAAATAATGAAATTGTCTGATACACCTGAATTACACCAAATCATTTTTCGACCTGAAATGAAGTGCCATTTTGTACCTTCATTCTATCTGGTTGATTTATAAAAGAGCCAATTATATGTTAATCAATATGATTTCTATTAGAAGAGAAGAGTTTAAAAGAAAGATGGTATTGATTGACTAGTCATTAGTGATAATGACAGGTACATGACCTTGAAATCACCTTGACAAAATACAATACTATAGTGTATTGACCAACTGTCTTTATATTACAAGTCAGATGGTCCACGTCTTCTAACATCATTGATTTACCATTACATAGGTTGGCGTTGAAGAAACATATATAATATAGAATAGTTATTCATATTCTAAAAATGGAAGAAAACTCCATCAAACATGTTTTGAAATTAAAAAATTTCATCCGAAGACAATGACTTGTAACTGTACAACAAATGATACAAGAATATAGCAGGATTAGATATAGAATAATTTCAAAACATAACAGAGAAGTAATCATGTCCATACATACTTAAAAAGATACAGCTTTTAAAGCAGAGAACAATATTTAAATCAATGTATAAAGCTCCTACATGCATAAAAAAATACAAAAGACTATTATAAATGATAAGATGATGTACATGTGTGTAAATTTTATCCAATCAAAGATATATATTATTATGATAGATATTTCTTTATTAAAAAATGCTTGAATATGATTTTTTGAATTATTTTTAAATAAATCAATATTTTTAAACTTGCTTGATTCTGTTGCTATATATATTTGCTATGATATTTCTGAATGTGTGCATGGTCAGTAATAATAAATATAAAACTAATTTCAGATTAGATGTTGTAATTCTTTCTTTTCAAACAGAAATCTTTACCATGAATTCAAAATGAAGAAATACAGTCTGGTAAAACTCTTGATAGTTTGAGTCTGTCACTGACACTTTTCGTATACAGAGGATTGAAAGTTGCATCTAAATGTTTTAACATCAAAAGTATTCAACAGAAATCTATAATTATCTCTTGAACTAACATCTGAAAACTGTTAATCCATAGGGTAACAGCTGCAGTTCCCTTAACCATATTTGTAGCCATGATCTTGGAGGAAAAGTTTGGACCATTTTGTAGGCATCATCTTCACTCAGACAGGGTCATTTGTGTAGCCTTGATGAAATTCCTTGAATATCGTACTTTTAGTTTAGATTACATGTAAATATGTCAGTGATTGCTCAAAATATGGGGACACCAGTTACCAAAAAACAAGTCTTTCTCTATATAAGATGAGCATGATAATTGGATGTGCATGCAGGCATGCTGGCTAAATTCTTGACCAAAAGACCACACAATTAGGAATAATCATGTTTTCTTCTCTTTCGTCATCAATAGATGGCTTAAATATTTTTACAGGTAAGAACGATATGCAGAGTAAATTAGATCATGCCATGCACGATGTTAATGAGAAATATAAACTATTGGAATCAACAGAAAAGAATGCATTAAGAACAGCACTGGTAGAAGAAAGGGGCAGATTTTGTTTATTTATCAGTTGTATTAAGCCTTTTGTGGTATGTAAAAAAGTTATTTACAATCTATACATCATCTGTTGTTTAAAAGATCGGTTGCTTTTCAGTAATTGTTAGACTAATGTAACTATTAGTAGTATGATTATGAACCATTATAAAGTTTTTACATGTGCAGGTGGAGGGAACTGTCCGTATTTGTAACGGTACCATATGATCAATTAGATAGAAAGGTGTTCAGGAAGAAATGGAGACACTAACCAAATAATCTGTAGAAAACCCATGCAATAAGATAGGCAACCCCTACCCCTTATCACTTACATAGCTAAGATCAAACCCACAACTTGCATAGATAAACAGACATTTCGATCCACAACACTCACATTAGACGAAACCCCCGGCCTAATGACCCGATCAGATCATATTGTTAGAATTTGATACTCTATTGGTGAACATATCTTTTGCTAAGAAGCTACAACTTGGAAACTCAAACTTGAACTATTGGACCATTAGTTGGAAGTAGTGACAGGTGTCATGCATAAGTCAGTACATTCTGTATCTACAGCACCTGATGCCATTTCTGTTTTAACAATATGGCTGTTTCAATTAATGCATATTGTTTTAAATATATTTTATACAATTTGGAACTGCAGTGTAACAGAATTGATTTTAGATCTTTACTAGCAGACTGTAAGAGGTAGTTGACTTCTGTGACAGGTGATAAATAACTTGTTATTGCGTTTCAGCATAACTTTTTTGTACCGACCCTTCGGATAATTCACGCTTGATTACCTCATACACCACCTATATGTTACAATAAACAACTTTATAGCCAATAGGTGGTGTACCATACCTAATAAAAATTAGAATGTCTGCTTTTCAGAGCAGAACCGAATGTTATTGATAGTACTGAAAGAAATCAATAAATTTATATTAATAACCAATAGAATAACTAGTATACATGTATTAATATAAATCCTCACTCTGAAAAATATCTCATATGCCGTTTGTGTTAAAAGAAGTCCTTTCTTATTTAATAACTGTGCTTTTGAAAGAGCTTATATATACATGGAAGAAATTTCAATAAAGATTTGGTAATATATTAGATTGAGTTAAGTTTATTAAGTATGTTGTATACATGATAGGTACATGTTATACAGTAGGTTTTAGGTCGGCGTATACCTTAGATTATATCATTGCCATGATATAGGTAAATGTAATGGTGATTGTCACGCATTAATAAATAAAAAAATGTGAGGCATGGTTAAATCCTATAGAAAGTGCCACTAAGATATGTGGGATTGGTATTTTATATTTTTTTATGACATGAGTATATTTATGATATTAACCCCATTCATTTAAATTCTGTTTTATTGCCCGCATGTGACCTACATGAATACCATGGTACAATAGGAAAGGCTTGTCATATTTTGGGTCTTTAATAAACATTTAATATGAATTTTACAGGCTGTAACCTAAATTTGTTTTGCTGTTCCTTTCAAAATGGTTGTCATTGACAAAGGGGAAATCTGAGCTATGAAAGTCTGTCCCATTATTCCCATTATTTATCCTGCACCAAGTTAAATTAGGGAAGGATATTGTAATAGACTCTCCGTCCATCCTAACTGTTCAAGATATTTTTTTCAACGCATTCCCTGTTTTTGGGGATGCCTGATACTATTTGCTATACATCTTATGATATGTACTAGTATTGGTTGTTGATGGCCTATCCCTGTACCTTTCAAAACATGTCCAAGGGCACAGGATGTTGATCACTGAGTCTTCTTGTTTCATTTCATCATACCGTTTACAATGAAGGGTTGCCATCATTATACTATACCATTGGAGAGTTTGATGCATTTGACCTTTTTGAAACTTATGAATGTGTATCGTAAGCCTTTAAAGTTCGTAGGTCACAGCATACATACTGAAGACAAGTTTTAAAGGTTCTTTTTTAAACACCCACATTTTCATGTGGACGTATATTGTCCTCACCCCTGTCCGTCAGAACATCCATCCACAATTTGTTTGTGGACACTCTGCAGGTCACAATGCTTATTCGATTTTGACGAAACTTGAACTATAGGTTTTTCTCAAAAAGATCTTGGTTCCTTTCGATATTGGCATGTATCAGATCGAAAATTCATGGATTATGGCCCCTGATTGTTTGAAAAATCATGTTTTAGCTGGTGGACTCTCTAAAAGTCACAATTTGTATTCAATTTTAAAAAAACATTTAAATATATGACCGTTACACCTCAGTGAAGGCATAGTTCGAATTTCGTAAAAATCTGACTGAAACAGCCAGACAAAATGGCTGCTCTGTGTACGCAAATAGTCTAAAAGTATGTAATACCAATGTTGTGGATCTTTGTTCGATTTTGATGAAACTTGAAATGTGTGTTTATAACCCAAAAACCACGGTTCCTGTCGATATTCATGCATATTGGACTGTAACTTCCTGGATTATGGCCCCTGATTGTATGAAAAATCACATGTTTATAGCAAATAGAACCCTTTGATTTAAAAAAACGTTTAAATATATCAGCGTTACACACTAATGATGGTTGAGTTCGAATCTTTGTAAAAATAGGACCAAAATGCCTTTACGCAAATAGTGTAAAAGTAATGTGGACCCTCTAGAAGTTACAGTTTTTATGAGATCTAGATGAAACTTAAAATAAATGTTTATATCCAAAAGTTCTCAGTTCCTTTTGATATTCGTGCATATCGGACCGTAACTTCCTGGATTATGGCCACTGATTGTACAAAAAAAACACATTTCTGTCCATCTCTTGCAAAATGTGGGCATATCTTGCCTGGCAACTGCTGGATCTGTATGGCTGTCAAGATCTTTTTCTCAAATTGATTTCTCTAAGATATTTGTTTTCAAATGTTTTTAAAAGTTAATTATTCAGTCTTTGTTTATATTATCATGACTTTATCATCGATATTTCAGGACAATGAAGTGGCACTACTCACAGAGATTACACATTTACAGGAAATCATGCAGAGTTTATGTCTGCAGGCCAGTGATCCTCAAAATTTGCCAGCCTCTAGTGAACAAGTAATTACAGATATTAAAGGAATTGATGCTAGTACCTTTAATCTAACGGCAAAAAATCATCACGTAAGTATAAACTTATTCATCTTCAAATTATTAATCAGTAACATAGCCAGAAAGGAGTGTTAGTTGGTTTAAAGATCCACCCGTAGGTCAGAAAAAATGGTATGTACCTCCCTTAAAATGTAGAATTTAGTAAGTAAGAAACAGATTTTGTCAACCAATCTGCCATATTAGTATTTAGAATTATAACACTTTTGAATTAAGAGAAAAAATAACAATTACATGTAGCTCCACCCATTCTCTTGAAGATGAACACACATCATGCAGCGTGCTATGGTATGAGGGGAAGTTTGCCCGGAGAGCCTACTCTTATTTTGCATTCCAACTGCCATGGGTGTTTTATGTGCACGCCAATGTGTACACAGGATCTCATATTTTCATATCATCCATACGACTAGACACTGCTCCTTGCCAGGCTATCTACCCTGCACCATTGACAAGGGCAAACCTCTGGAAAAAAGGATGATAAGGAAGCCTTATATAAACATATTCAGCATGAACAATAGATATCATTAATGTGGGCTGTATTTTTTTTTATATAATAAATACTTACAAGTATGCACTTACATAGTCTGATAAAGCAGGTGCTAAGGGCATTAACTAGAGTTGACATTTACAAGGTAATTATCAACTAAATACTAATATACGGGAGATATATTAAGATAATAATACTAATCACTTATTTACCCTATATTAATAATATACAGACCATGATATTTAGCAAAAGGAAAGCCTATTTGATTGAAATAGCAGAAGTAGGAAATCATGAGTCATGTTAATGTTTTTGTATGTCTATGTAATCATAATATTTATTATAAGCTCAACGGAAAGAACATAAGTATTTAGACTCAAGTTATATCACATACACATACGTCATAATGAATGTGTTACAAAGTTTGTGTTTTGTACAAATCCTTATGTGTAAGTCAACTTGTTTGTTTAAAAAATTGAACAAAAATAAAACTTTTTATAACACTCTTCTTTATTTTCACAAGAGGTTTTTCTCCTACTGCAAAGAGTGAAATTAAATTGATTACATCAATCAGTATTTTTTTCTTGCAAATGTGGTCAAAGGTAGATAATAAGTGGTTTTGCAAGAGTTATCCCCCTTTATATTGGTAATCGTTTGTTTTTCAGCAACATTCTCCTCCAAGTTCTCCAAGTTCTCTAGGTTCCAGGAAGTCAAGTATGTGTAGTATCAGCAGTATCAACAGTTCATCTAGTGGTTCTCTGAAATCTCACTCACACTCTCCTAGCCATAGTTTACGAGTTCGAAATATATCCCAGGTATGTTATCTACATTATATTTTACACAAAAGTGACAAGTTTTAATATAGTATTTGTCAAATATTGTTTTATGAAAAGGTCAAAGTGTATTTTGATATTGTTATTAAAAAAACTAACTGTATTTCAGTTTAAACTATTAATGAATTACTGTGCCAGCAATGTATTTTGTTCACAATTAAATTTAATTTTAAATGTGCAGTATTAACATTTTTATTTATTTTCTGCATGTTGTTATAATAAATTATGATAATTTATTGATACGCATGTCAATAACATCATCATCTCTACAGATTTATTAATAAAATGAAAGAGGACACTTTGTCATGTATATAAGCTTGCCTGAAGTGCTCAACTCTTGTACTACATTATTTACAAACATAGGCTATATATATAGCATTAGTGTTGCTTTAATGTAAAAATCAAAATCTAGAAAAATTGAAAAAACTTTGTTAATTTTCTTTCTTCTTTTCAAAATTCTACTTGGCCTAGACTTATATTTTATGGTTTTGGATAATGACTCATCAGACAATTTTTTGATTAATGAAATAAAATCTTATTAGAAATTCTGAATACAAAAATTATTTTTAAAATCCATTTATTATCATATATACTAACTTGAGTTTATAAAATGAATGAATTAATAGTTATGTGTAAAAAATAGAGAAGTTGGGTCAGTGGAAGTCAATGAATTGTCTAGAGTCATTTGTATCATCATTATTATTTAATATAATTATTTAAATAAAAGATTCATGGTATGCATGAAGCTAATTGATTGGTTATAGCTTGATCTTGCCTTTAAAGCATGATTGTATGCCTTCTGTTTTCTTACGCCCACAGCATTTGCCAGTGGGAACCATACGTCTCACAAGCGTGTCATCCCAAGATTCTGGATTCACCTCGCAGGATACATTGTTTTTACGACCAACCACACCCCAATCTTTAAACCTATTTCAGGTAGGGTCCTGTCAATCATAGTTTAAACTAGGTCAGCTTCTAGTCTGATAATGTGGTAGTTAGTGTGATATTCCTAATGTAAAATTTGCTTAGTGTTTACATTAGAAAGAAAATTTGGTTAATGTTTATATTTTAATTAATTCTTTCAACACTGTGAGAATCTAATGTCATATGTCTTTAGAATACATGAGCTTACTGACTGGGACCACTAACATTTGGTTGCATGCATCATTTGTTCATTCATCACCATGCTTTAACAGTAGAAATCTAATAATGAGGCCAAATGTTAATTGTGATCATTAAAATAGGAATCACACCAGCTGCCATTCTAGATTTTTTTACATAAATCTTTTAATAGTTTTATATTCATACTAGTATTATATATTATTTATTCATTTATCAGATTTCTCCTCTTTCAAATATTCTTCACAGAAACCTTCAAAATTATTTCTTTTAAATTTAATACTGTTTTATTAATATTTTCGTTATTTTGGATAACGGGTCAGCTAATAATTGATTATAATTACAATCACAAGCACATCATTATCATTAACCTACACCTTATTTCTAAGCTGCTGCTTTTTTCTTACTGTCTTTTGGTTTTCTTTAACTGTTAAAGTTATTTTATTATTCAACTATCTTATATAGCTATTATTTCTATCTTGTGCATTGTATATATATATATGTTCATTATAGCCTGGTTCAGTAAGTTATTTTATTCCCTTGATTTATGGCTGACTCTGTTGTCACAACAGCTGATGCCATCAGGTTTTCATAGATTAGAGAATAACACTTGTTGAACTGGGTTATACACTGTTATCTGTGCAGTATATTATGTTTTATTTTGAATGTTATATGTGTCAATATAGACAATATACATTGATAGGCCATTGACTCTGTTGCATTAATATCATCTCTGATTTAGAAAAAGCATCTGTATCTCTTGCCTTAATACCTCAATATCTTTGAATGATATTTTGCTAATGGATATTTTACTGATGAAAATACTTTATAGATAGACCAAAATTATTTAAAATTAAATTTCTTGTTTTTTTAATACCTGTTTTGAATGAGAAATATGCTGTACGAAAAATTTAGAGTATTTTGTTCAGTGCAATGTCTCGTTAAATGTCCCAATATATATATATTGGGTTAAGACTGACTATTGTCTCTCTAGAAATTTTGTTTGTGTGATTCATATGTAGGCTATACTTTATTTAAATCTATAAGTTGTATAACGGTATTATATTACAGAATAACAATTGTTCAGATAAAGACAGTAATGGTACTGATACACCTGAACAAGAAACACCAACAACTCCAAATGAGCATCTTGCCAGTACACCGTCTGCTAATTCAACATGGAATAATTGGCCAAATCAGCCTGCCGCTGCTGCAGCTAAAGCAGATCCAAATCGTCCTCACACTATTTCTTCTGCCTATGAAAAATCTCATAATCGGCCAGCCTTAAACAAAGAACTGTTTGAGCCTCTTCCAGAAGCTACAGTAGAACTGCGGAATGACCCATCCAAGAAAGGTCCCGGACGCTCCCACAATTCAACTCCCTCTCCGTATGCCCGACCTAGTTCTGCAACAATCACTAAGGTGCAGCCAGTGCTGCCACCCCTTGGACCCAAGCCGAAACCCAAAGCTGTCTCCTGTCCTAGAGTTCCAACAGGTATTACAAATGAAGATATATTTGATAAATTTGGAATAATACAAATCTAATCTGTCTTTTTCTATATGGCCTGCATAATTGATTGTATGATGATTAGATAGAGCCATTATCTGTTGAAATAGTTTTAAAATGTCAGAACAGAGGAACAATTAAAGTTATATGTTTTGTGGAAGTTAACTATGAATAAAGTATGAAATGCTTATTTTTTTCTAAAGGTCCACAGCCAATATATGCTAATACAGTTGACTTAGCTCGCATGGTGGCTGAAAAACGGGAGGAACTAGAAATGATGGAATCTCCGGAAAGTGAACGTGGTCCGACACCACCCACACCTTCAAATGCATCTGTAAGTAAATGCTGATGATACTTGTTTTATAATAGTTTTAACAGTATGTGCTAAAATAACAATTGCAATGTCTGTAAGATTAATTTAATGGACCAGTGCCTAAAGTAGATTAACTGAAAGTGCAAGATAGAGTTTTGATGTTAAAAATAACTAATGATTAATAAAATATGTACATTTTTAAAAATTTGACAGTATTATAATTTTATACAGTATACAATAGGTGTTTACCATAATATAATAGATATCTATGTGATATATTATTATATATGTGCCATATTTATCTATGCATGGGGTCTCTCTAGTATCCTATAATATCACTCTGCATGGTGAGCTATCTCCTGTCTTCTTAATCTTAAATATAAATTAATAACACGAGAAAAAATATATAAAACAATTGGCAGCGTGTATTTTAGATGTTATGATCCGTCAACAACAGATATATAATATCGCATGATTGGAAATTAGCATGGGAAAAGTTTAAAATTGTTAATATATTAACAAAATATAATATTGATACACAGTGTTAAACAACCTGGCGTTATATATATATATGACAGTATTAATCAACCCTACATGACAAGAAATATAGATCAAATATAACTATAATTACCTGCTTGTATGCACAAACTGAATATCTAATTTTTTGACAGCTTAATCCACACTAACATGTACCCATATTGATTATTTAACATTTAATTAAGAAAAACAAAATCAAAAAATATCAACTGTAGATTCAATCAGATTAAGATTATAGGTGGTACTAGATTGCCGAATATTGATAAATTTTCAATTCATCATATTTTTGTAAAAAATGTACCAAATTGAACAATTTTTATACGCCCACATTTTCATGTGGCCGTTAATTGTCGTCGCCCCTGGACATCCGTCCGGACGTCCTTCCGCCCACAATTGTTTGTGAACAGTCTACAAGTCACAATTTTTATCCGATTTCAACGAAACTTGAAATATAGGTTTATCACCCTAAGATCTCGGTTCCTTGCGATATTGGCATGTATCGGACTGTAACTTCATGGATTATGGCCCCTGATTGTACGAAAAATCACGTTTGTAGCTTGTGAACACTGTAGAGGTCACAATTTTTATCCGATTTTGTTGAAACTTGAAATGTATGCTTATAACCCAAAGATCTCGGATCCTTTCGATATTCGTGCATATCGGAACGTAACTTCCTGAATTATGGCCCCTGATTGTTTTAAAAATCGCGTTTTTTGGCGTGTGGACCCTATAGAGGTCATAATTTTTATCCGATTTAAAAAAATGTGTTATTATATCACCGTTACACCCTAAGGATGACTGAGTTCGAATTTCGTGAAAATCGGCCCAAAACTGACAGACAAAATGGCCTCCCTTCGTTCTCAAATAGCGTAAAAATATGGTATATCAAGGTTGTGGACCCTATAGAGGTCATAATTTTTATCCGATTTTGTTGAAACTTGAAATGTAAGTTTATAACCCAAAGATCTCGGTTTACTTTCGATATTTGTGCATATCGAATTGTAATTTTCTGAATTATGGCCCTTGATTGTAGGAAAAATCACTTTCTTTTTAGCTTGTTCTCTATCCATCTCTCGAAAATGTGGGCGTATCCTGCCTGGCAGCCGCTGGTTTAAACTGATATTGGTTTTAGAGACTCAAGTTGGACTATTACAATGTTGTAGTTTTCAAGGGATTAAAAATCCCTCAAATGACAATCATGGACTTTAAGCAGGATTTATAATATGTTCCACTAATCAAATCCGGGGCTTGAAATATATAACAGATAATAGGAATTAATAGTACATGTAATCTCACCCATATAAAACTAGTAGCTAGCTCATCTATACCAATCTAACATTTTATAAACATTTTTCTCCATAATCAGAAATCACATTAGAAATTATTTTAAAATTTCCAGTAAAGCTAGGAAATTATATTATTTATAATCTATTATGGAAAGAAATGTTAGCTTGATATCTATCTCTAACTCTGTTTATGCTGTGATGCTCTAATTCTTGTTGTCCTGACAGCCTGGTGATATGTTGGACCTACAGGCGGCCATTAGGAGCCTTGATAGTTGTACAGCAGCTCTCCATACTGAATATCAGTCTTCGGAATCTGATCTCGATTCACCGCAAAAACCTACAAAAAAGGCAAGATATGTTTACAGTGTCCCGTTCACACATAGATTAATAATGTGGAGATTTTACATTTGTCTCGGCCTGTAAACTGGATTATTCATTGTGTGTGTACCTGCAAACATGATTAAAGAAGATGGTCCAATTGTTTCTTTATCGGATAAACTTTAAAGATGCATGATGTAAGAGCTAAATCTGCCTATTGCAGGTTTTTATTTTGGCTTCAAATGTTATATAGATTATTATTTAGACATTTATTCACATGACAAGCCTATAATCAACTCTCTAGACCTTTGGATGGCCGAGATATAAATAGATTGAAACACGATCGCCATATAATAATTTAATTCAAAAACGGATAAATGAAGACTTATTCTCGGTTGTCAAATACTGTTGCTACTATAATAAACAATCAAATACTGATAACTTAGATCAGAATAAAGTAATTTGAGTGTTCATTTTTCATTGTCTATTTTTGAACTAATATAGCAGGAACAACCAGCTCTTTATCTAAATCTTGCGTAATGCATCTTTAAGAAAAATTATAGGTACCTTTATCCAAGCTCCACCCTTAATTAAAGACTGCATTAGTGACATCATCAATACTACCAGATCAAGCTTAAAAATAATGATGTGTTTAGTACATCTATCAAATTAATGTTTCCACCTCTTTCAATTGACATTTGTGGGATATGAACAAAGGTGTCTAGAAAGTTTTAAAAGTAAATTCTAGTTACTATCATTGATATCCATATTTATTGCTAGAATATATAGAAATAGATGGACCATCTTTTTTGAGGCAAAAATGTTTGTGAAGGACATTTTGAACCCAAATATCAGTACGACTTGGCACTTGGAATTTTTAAGCAAATTTTTACAGATTTTTAGGAATAGTACCAATATATTTTGTGTGTGCTGTGTGAAAATGTTTGTAGAAATATCAAAGACTAACAACTTTTCAGTTTTGCATGATCAGTGAAATGTTTGAGATAACTGGAAATCTAAAGTCTCCACATTTGATATAATTAAGATGCACAAATAATTTTATTCCTGACCACCAAGTAAATTATTAGGTTTAAAAACAAATGTTTTGATTTTGTGATAGGGAAGAATAATTTCTAATGGCAATGTTTGTGTTTAAAACTAATCACCTTAGATTTGTCTTTGATCTTTTATCATTAGAACTAGTGCTATAGAATATTACTCTTTGTATTTTGCAATGTTCAGCTTTAACTTTTCTCTTCATTTTTGCAATATATTTATAGTTTAAATGCTTAACAATAAAAATATACCCCTCTCTCTCATGTATCAATGGCAATGGAACTTTTCTGTTGTGGATTGAGTTTCATTCTACTCTAAATTATGTCTTTATTGGGTTTTTAGGTTTCATATATTGATATGTTACATGATTTTAAAGAAAAGATTGAGAAGGATCTCTACTGCATTATAAAACCGAAGATTTAGTTAATGAATTATGAAATGTGTTTATATATTCATGTGAGTGAAGATGTATACAGCATTTGCATTGATCTATTTTGTAATCCTTCAAATCGTTTATTACTGTAATCAGAATGTGAATTTACGTCTTTATTTTGATCTGAATAGATGCAGCAGAACTCGATGGAGTTAGCTCAAGCAATTAGAGAGTTGGAAGAGAGTACAGCAGCTCTAGAGTCAACATACGAGCCTGCTACAGCCAGTAGTTATAATGCAAGTCATGCATCATTACAGTGTTCGAGTGGTTATGCCACTATGAATAGTACCCCATCAGGTTCAGAAGATACTATACCGTCTGGTGGTAAGTTAGCTCTATATTTACACTATATAAATACACTGCTTTATTGTTTGACCATTGCACTTTATAGTTTTTATTGTCACCAAATACTTTAAGTAAGATAGTTTTAATCAGGTTACACACATGTTTGTATATTCTGAACTATAAAAAATACTTAATTTCATTGGCAAGAATTAGCTTGTACAAGTTGAGATTTCTAAAGTATATTAGTTGTGGACACTACCGTACATAGATGATTATTATAATCAAAACTACATGTATATCTTTTACATTTTGTTTCCCCTGTGAACAAATAACTATGTGGAAAGTAGTATTAGTTATGATAGATTTTGCATGCCAAAATTTTTTCTTAGAATTGCATGTGTTTTTTCTTCTTTAATTAATCGCAATGATCATATTTATTTATACCTATTAAATCATTGCCAGTAGATCTTAATATTAAAGTTTAAGCTTGTCATTGGAGTGAGAATGTCTTAGCCTTTATGTTAGCTTTGTTCATTACACAGGGTAATGTTTCTATTTGGTTTTGAGTTTCATCAAATACAATATCTGCTGATAGTAATTATTTCTTGCTTGAACAAATCAATGTGATTAAATCTAATGGCTTACTGATCATGGTAATTTATATCAAACATTCATTATATAATTTCAATGTAAATTATTGAACTGAATTGCACAATGCCAAGATTTGAAAGATTTACTTGCATTTGTAGTATGTTAATATCTTGAACAGTGTTTTAACAATGCATGGTTGTTAAGTTAAACTGATTGTTTTTTGTTGTTGTGTGTTAACAAGTGTTGTTTGGTTTGGCTGCTTGCAGATTTTGATTTGAATTCCGTGACAGTTGATACAGAATATAGATATTTCACCATTCCTCGTAGCGGCCCTATCAATGAAGCTTTTAGAGCAGCTGTGGCTACCAAACGCCCAGCCTCTACTGCAGGTGTGTGATCACTAACTTGAGTTACTCCCCTTATCACAATGTAAACTAGCTCATCAGCACATGCTATTTAGTTGAAATATTAGTAGACAGCTTCAAATATACTGCAAATAAACCAATTTTTTCTACTGATAAAAGTTTAAACAAATATTTATATTGGGAATTGTTAAAGAATTTAAACATAGTTTTTTTACATTTTCAAGAACTTTATAATTTAAATCACAATAAGCATGTTTTTCCTTTCCATCAACCCATCTTATTTTGCTTGTTTTTCATGTATATGCATGACTTGTCTTACCGAATGATTTATAATAGTTACATGTCTTTTTTCTGCCTTCTTTGATATACAGCTGCCATTTAATTCTTTTACTTCTATATTTAGGAATTCCTGTTACCAATTCCAGAACAAATAGTCTGAAGAGAGCTAATGGAGCCAATGCTGCTAAACCACCGCCACCTGTTAGAAGAAATTCATCCATTAGTGGATCCACTAAAAGCCGATCATCACCTCCCAAACAAATGGGCCCACCCATCACAGCACCCAAACCTCCAAAAGGAGGAAAGGTCAATAATGGTCAAACAGAAGGTCCATATGCAGAACTACAGTTAATACAACAGAGTATAAAACACAGCAAACAACAAAACAGACAACAGGGGGCACCACCCAGCTCTGTAGTATCAACACCATCTCCTGATAGACTGAGTTCAGGTTCATCATCTACAAGTAGTTCACATTACGCTATATCTAATATAGGTCCAGCTAATGCCAGCAATAGAAGTACCAATCAGGTACAGAATATGAATATTCAGTTTGCTGCTATGAACATGCAGCGTAATGTGCCGAGAGGAGAGGAAATGGATTTTCCCCTTCCCCCAACTGATGATGAACTTAAAGAAATCGAAAAGATTTATAGTAAACCACCTCCTCAGTTGCCTGCAGCTAGTGATCTTGCAGGGTGTTTTGTTAAAGAATTGAAGCGACGAGTGATAGCCGAGGATGGCTCGGATGTATAATATATCTATAAAACCCCATTCCAGATAGAGACTGGTTATATTCCATATATTATGATTATACATATTGAGATTTCTAATTAATAGCTTATTATCAAGAACTTAATCCCTAATATATACTGTAGTCTGATCCCTCAATCTTTATTTCTATGTTTTTCAGTTAGCTTGTTTGGTTAGCTTATCATTCTACTAAATCTTATATTTTATTGTAAAATATCATTTGCGCTTTCATTCCCTTGTTTAGACTGTGCTGATTCACTCTCCATCTCAACTGACAGTTCAGTCTGTTCAGTGCTTTATTTCATTTGAGATTTGACTAAATTAATCTGACTTCTAGGATATCTTGAAGAGGGGAATGGATCACTTAATAGAAATACTGTGTATTATTTTTTTTAGCCAGCAAAATGTGAATTACCATTGAATTTAAATCCATTGTACAGTGTGTTAACAGGAATCAGACCACTGTGCTTGGAGGTGATTTTTTTACAATGAAAAAAGTTGCTTTCCTTAATGAATATTCATCTGAATGTTTTATAATTTGTTTAACTTGAGTAATGGTTCGGATAGTTGCAATAATCTTAACAATCGTTGATCTCATGGTGTTTGTATCTTTGAATACCTTTTAGCGATTGATTACTTCTATATTTTAATTTGAGAACTATATAAACAGACGATTTTAATTCTTTTTTTAAAATCTCAGAAAAGGTCATAATGTTGATTATTCTCAGAGATGAAATATAATTTCTCGTAACAAAAAGAATTATAGATAAATATTTGTTCTTAAAAGTTCATCACAGTACATTTTAGCTAGCACAAAGTAAACAAAAGATTTATTTGGGGTCGAAAGGGACCAGGGGTTGGTGAGCAAATGGTAAACGTGGTATTACAAAAGTAACAACTGTGTTTTAAATAAAGTTTGTAAACAGCATAGTAGAATTATTCTCTATTTGGTCAGAAGTCAGAACCCTAAATTCTGAGTGTAATAATGGCATCAGTTCATAATGTGCATCATTGAATTTTCGTACATCTTTTCGTTTTTTTAAGTTTGTTTGATGTTGTCATTGTTCCAGCATGGCAGCACGAACCAAAGGCATTATATCTGTATGTATATTGAAGTCCTATTTCTAGTTTGATTATTGTGATAAAATTAAAAAATAATGGTCTCAAATGTAAGTTTAATATAATAAGCAAGATAGTACTATATGGACCAAGAACTTAGCATGACATCATCGCCACTGTCTTGGAATTGTGACTTCTTATAAAAATCGAAGTCTGTCAATCGCTGTGCAATTGTCCATGGAACATGCATGCCAAGTTCATGTCAATCAAATTGTACTTGAATTGGCAGAGCCTAAGGCTTTTATGATGAATAGCACTTGATGGAAGTGCATGTAGAACAGTTCTAGAACCAACTAAAAGTCTTTATTCCAAGAAGATACATATAATTTCCAGAAATTGTCAGATGTTTTTGGATTTGTTTTATCATATTAAAGTGGAATACAATGATTTGTTTGGTGTGTTAAGCTAGAAATAGGCCTTTGAAGTGGTAAAGCGTTGCTAAATATATATTATAAACATATTATTAATGTATCCATTGATTATATACAGGATGAATAAGACCACCTGATGCTAATATATCAAGCTTATGTGTATTAACCTATGCTGCAACATATATTGTGAATTGTTCGTTATTAATTAGTGGGATATGAATGTATTATATAATTAATGAGCTCAAGTTATTTAGAATCATGATTATTAGGAGATGAAGGAATCTCTGTTTTAAACTGTAAATCACAGGTTGTTTTAAGAACATTTCCATCATGTTTTAACCGACCAAATACTTCCACAATAATTATAGTAATAATACCTCTCTCCCATCCATCATTTAATATATTATTATATGTGACCCTTGAAATATTATACAAACATATATATTTACACACATCTATATGTTATGGTTTTATCTAAAACATATATATACCAAGACAATATCCGATACAGGGTTTATTCCAGAGGGTACAATCTATATATAGCAGTTAAAATGTAGTGGATGAAATTTTTGAATATTTAATTTGTTTCAATTTGATTGTATTGTGTTTGGCCTGATATTTGTGCTTCAATTTTGTTTTAGAGATGAGGCATGCATTATGGATTGAAAAGTATGTGGTGTTATACTTTTACTTCTGAGAAAGTTAAACTGTGTATAGACATTAAATAAGATTTAAAATATCTTATGAAATTTTGTTTAAAATGACACATCTTAATGGATGAATATTTGCAGTCCTTATAATTTATAGTGCTTATTATTAAGAAGGCTTATAGTCAAACTCTCATCTCTTGGTTAGCTTACTCTTAAATAATTTATGTTTTTATTTTTCTTGCCATTATTGTGTTTTATATTTTATGTGAAAATCATTTATTTATGTAAATAATTTGTGTATTTTATTTTATTTTCTGTCAGTCTGGGTATAAAGAAAGTTGAGAAGTTTTAAAGTATATCAGATATATAAAATAATAATCCCATGATGGCTGATTAAAAGTAACTGATATAGGATCTGTCTCTTGGGGTGAGGTAAAACAAAAATAATTGTTTGGAGATATTGTAATTAATTATATTAATATCCATGATATTAATACTGGATTGTAATTACCTTAATTAGATATTTTTCTCTGTGGGATGTCATGGACGTTTATTGTTAATGGTATTAGAAATAATCAAAGTTAATGTTTAGTTATAAGTTTTGTAAAATTCTGTTAGTGATAATGGTTAAATGACATACATGAATGGCCGTATTTAAGTCTTTCATATAATTTGTAGACAGAAGCTTGTCTAGTATTCCAGAGTTAAAATTCTTGAATAAGACTAACATATTATTTTACATTTTATATATCAAATACTAATGATTCTGTGCTATAATGTATTTATGTTCTGACTATTCAATGTAAAAAGTGTATAAAATGTGCTTTTATGTTCTTATATTAATGTATCTATATTAAGCAGGATTTAAAGGGCATTGTCAGCCTGTACACACACACACACCCACCTCCTACTCAGACACACATACACAAATTAACTCTATATTTTGGCTGTATATAAATCACTTTGATTGAAATCCTTGTTTAGTATACTGTAAGTAGTGTATATACATCTTATAGTCTCATTTTATATCTTGTAGAAATATTCAGAATTTTATTTTCAAATTCAGATTCCAAGTTCTTAATCTTCTGTGCACAAGCTTTTCTAAGTAATTGAGATGAATCTGGAATATTCCTTGCTTATAACCACAGAGTCGCTAGAGAAAGCTTAACTAATATTGAATTGTACTTGGAATATGTGCATGGGTCTTGCTTAAAAATATTTTGCATAATTAAATGTTGGAACTCCTGTTCTTGTGAATGGTAGAATCAAAAAAATCAAAGCAGGAAATTGTGTTCAGAAATTCTTGTGTACATGAAATATCCAATTGGCATTTGAAAGACTATGAAAACTGAGACAGTTTATTATTATAAATAACACTGGTCGTGTTAATAAGATCATGATGTACAAGATTTTATCTCTAATAAAAGTAACCTTTCTTTCTTTGATTTTCATCTATTTAAAATATATTTGTATGTTTATGGAATTAAGACTAAAGTATATGAGAAGATGCTCACTGCTTGACAAAATGTCTGACTGCAAGAAATCAGTGTTTTTTTTGCGTTAGACCTGTATGTATGTGGTTAATTGTAGGCCTACATTTGTCTAAAACAAATTATGCGAAAATGATTACCACATCTTGTCAGTGTTTCCAGCAAATCTTCTTTCAGTTCCAACTGCCAGTGTGTACACGAGGCCTAGGTTTTCCATCCCCTCCGAATGACTAAGCACTGTGCCTTGTCAGACTGGGGGGGGGGGTGGATGGCCGAATGGTTAGCACGTGCGCGCTGTATCATAAAGCCTGTCATTGAGTCAACTGGCGTGGTTTCGAATCCCCGGTTGTACGTGACAAGGAGTAGGGACGCCTGTAAACCATGTGTTAGTCCCGAAATGACCTAGTTTGTGTCGAGTGGACGTTAAACCCCATCTCTCTCTCTCTCTCGCCTTGTCCGACTCCCCGCCTTTCACCACTTTGGAAATCTCGAGAAACTTCTCGCCTAACACCGGAACATCCCAATTAGTGAACCGTTATGGCCCATCGCCTTCCGTCGAATATAAGTGGGCTATGTTTAACGACACAAGTGAATGGTGTGGTGGTTTACGTGAATTAGTAATGGACACAGTCACCCTTGCAATGTAGTTAAAAGGGTCTTTTCTTGGGCCCGGGGACACTTTCTTCTGGATTTAATGGCTCTGCCTGGGAGTGTGCATATTATTGTTTTTTTCTCCCCGAAATCGGCGGGGATTTTTTTCCGTCTTATTTTGGGACATTTAAAAAAAGAACAATTTCGGGTCGGAGATCCTTCTATATAAAGCCTCTTTCTCCCATTTGTTGATATAAACTTGAAAAAAATGAGGTTTGGATTTACATTTTTGTGAGGTTTTTTAATGAAAACTTAGAACTGGTCAAAGAGACGAGAATTTACATTAACGTCAATATGTGTCGTCTGTGCACTAAGGGGGGAATAACCCAGTTATGTTTTTTGGGATGGAAACCAAACTTCAATGTTAATCTGGTCTCTGCCCGGCTCCAACTTTTCCCTAAATTGCCTTTTCACTACAGACAAGGCATCACATCACAAAGTATTTGCTCCAGATTTTGTATGGGGTTGACTTATGAAATTTTGTGATACACAAAATTAAAGTAGCATACATACTAAAAACACGCTACTATTCACCTTACATTTCACTGTAACCAACCCCTTTACTCATATATTATCTTTCTGCTTCTAAACCATGATTATTTACCAAAACCTGTCAGAAAATAAATCTTCAATGCAACCCCCTTCGTCCATTCTGGACCACAAAATCAACATAGATAGGTTGCCAGGCAATGAAACATACACCCACAGCAGCTAAGTCGCCAAGGTAGTCAACAAGTGTTGTTGCACTTTTTTTTTCTTTTGTTAGTAATCAGAACACTTACAACACATGAAAATCTGACGACGAGTAATAACTCATGAAGTTATTATCAGAAAAGATTAGAATTTGTTTCAATTGTTTGTCTCATGGCCTTAAACAATTTATATTAAATTTAGCCTCTAGAGTGAATGAATGAATGAATTGGGAGTTTTAACCTCTAGATATATCAACAAGATATTTCAAAGAGATCAAGGGCCATAACTCTGGTAGTAACTATCGGAATTTGCTGAAAATCAATAGGGTCTTCGTCTCATGACATTAAACACTGTGTATAAATTTAAAATCCATCGGATATTAACTTTAGCCTCCACAAGATTTTTCTAAGTGTTCAAGGGCCATAACTCTGGTAATAATTATCGGAAATCGCAGAAAATCAATAAGATTCTTCACCTCATGACCTTAAACACTGTGTATAAATTTAAAGTCAATCGGATATTAACTTTAGCCTCTAGAGCGCCCGCAAGATTCCTCAAAGTGATCAAGGATCATAACGGGCGGATGGACAGGGAAGACGACAATATACGACCACATTTCAATGTGGGCGTATAAAAATGATCATGCAAAGAGAGGGATAGAGAGAATTTCTGTAAATAGATGTACTATATATACAATTTGGTGAAATTTAATGCTAGTCTGCCTGCTATAGAACATGCTAATTTCAACTGTTTGGCTGGTACATGTACAAGTATCGGTTTCTTTAATGGACGAAATGACATAACGCAAATTGTATTCAATTCCTCAGAAAATATAAACGCCGATTGAAGTCATTTGTACATTATTGGAACATATAGTCACCCCTCCTTTGACATATGCATCGTAATAATAATGTTAGGATTTCAATAACTATTGATCTTCAGAGAATGGCGGGTTGACTATATGAAAAACACTTGGAACTTATTTAACATGGGAATGTTTTATTAAACAAAAATTGATAGTTATTATTAACATTTATATACAAAATTGACAAATTGTGTACACTTTTTAAAATAACGAACCGACTGAGGCTACGGTTTATTAATTAATTGCGCACAAATACGTTCACCCAGTTTATTTACGATTACAATAACTTAAAGGAGCTAAACCTCTTTAATTTAAGTCAACATTTAGTACTGAAGTGGGTTGATCTGATTGATCTCTTCCGATTTATTTTTTGTTTGTTTCGAGAGATTGGCTTAATGCGCTGACGGTTGAACGCAAAATCGGTTATATTTCATCATTTCGACGAAAATAAATTGTCAACCCACATCAACAATTTGATATTAGATTCAAATGAAAGAGGTCTAGCCGTTTTATAAAATATATCCAACAAAAACATTTTAAAAAAAAATGGCATATGCCTCTCAATTAATCAATACATGTGACATGTGTTCAACAACAATTATTACGCAACATTAAAAGGTTGCCTTTAATTCGAAGTGATTTTTATTCAAACAATTGTAAAAACGGGTCAACAACAAAATTATGCACTGTAAGCACTTTTCTTTTAAAACCGGTTTTAATGTTCTGTTTACGGCTTTGAGTGTATGCCCATCTTGTTGGGTACTTACAATCGACAGAATACATGATAATTATGCTTTTGTATGTTTGGAATAGAATGTCATCTAATCAGAAGAGGACCGACCGATGGGACACTCTTTTTTTTCTCATACATTGACATAAAGGTTGCTTGTGATTTGTTTGAAAGAATGTTGGAAATGAGATATGTGTATTTGATAATGCGAAGGCGAGGCAAAATATTACAAAATTTAATATGTTTTCAAATGGATTCATGCCATGTTGATTTAAATTTGCCTTCCCTGTAAACAGGATATACGAAGATGTCTTGTAGTAGGACGGGGTTTGGAATTTTAAAGAGTGAAGTTTATTTTTATTATATGATGTGGTATGAAACTTGAAGTAATACTGGACCATCAGCCAATTCATATTAGTTAATATTTTTTAATAGAAGATACAGCTAAGTATTCTTGTCGTGTTCTAGAGATAATCAGCAAAACACATTTATGTGAGCTGCTAGGTGCCTGCTAATATCTGTTTACACAATATGAAACAAATAAATCATCCAGGCTTAATCACAATCAATAATATGAAAGGGAAAAACGAAACGAAACCATTCTTTCAATAAAGAAGAAAATAATGATCTGTTAATGAAGTTGGATGAAAATAAGGAACTGTCTTTCTTTACATATCATTATCTCTTAATAATTAACTGTGCCTTTTCCATAATGTCGATAAATTACCCAGTTGGTTTCTTTGTTCTACACAAATAATTTTATTGTATTTTATAATACGTATTGATATTAAGAAAATCCCCGGAGATTTAAAAGGAAGAAGCTCCTCTATTTGAAAACACCGGTCTACCAGATATGCTAAAAGAGCAAAGGTATTATCTTTATTACAAATCTATTATCTGGTGGCCAACCTTTCAATATGTTGTATTAAAAGACGACACAGAGCACTAATGATTTCCATACTTTCATCTCTTCTCACACCAATAATCATGCCGATAGATCAATGATTCAATCTGTATCGTACTTGTGTTGAAGAAAGCTGCAAGATAATGTTCATTCCCTTTGATTATTTCCTTTCTCTTGTTCTTGTGTATTTTCTATATATTTTCATATACACTTTTGGTTCGTTTCCAGAAAAGTTCTACGGTTTGAACAAAAGCTTGCTAATAATATGGTAACAAGTGATGCTAAAATAAAATTGACGTTAACCATGTAAATATTAGAACCTATTTATATTATATGACATTATGGAAATGACAGGGAGAATTGGGAAGTCCATAGCTATTATTTAAGCTCATAGCGTCTGAGCCATTACACGTGAGTATGAATCATATACTGTGTGTGAGCCAGAAACGGTATGCGTGATTCCATACGTGTAATTTCTTAATATATAAAAAGACTAGTAGTTTTCAAGCAGAGATTACTGATGCGGCACTTTCACTTTATAGGTATTTAATGATCCATCCATATGCTTTGCATAGCCAACTTCTAGCACTGAAATCACAGCCTCTGGAGATCGACAGAGGTGGGTCATGATCAGTTAATTAATCCCTACGTCAAACGGTTACAATTCTTTCCGATATTTAAGCATTATATTGCTTACGTTTCTTTCTTTTTTCCTCTAGAAACCATTCTCCATAAACGTCCACCAGATACTCCATTTGTTATTGATTAAGTTTAACACTGTGTATCACGGTATTCATCTATCTCGTCACGATATCACCTAAAAAATCTCGCCAATTGCTTCACTCTACGATGGTCGTAAAAACACGTATTCATTTAAACCATTTTTTAAGAAGTCCTTGCATACTTGTTCGGCATGATTCGATTTTTGTTGCATGGTATTCATAATGGCATGTTCCGTTTCCGCCGTCGTTGCCATGGTAATAAGTTTGGATAGAGACATCAGACCTTTTATTCCAACATTCACATCCATTCCTGAAAATAGATAAAAATTTGATTAATAACATCACAAAACAGAGTGAACAAGCAAACAAATATAAATCAGGTTTATTCACATAATAGATCTCACTTTATCTGTGTGTCCTTTCAAATCAAACACGATTACAATCTTATGAAAACAATAATTTGACATTGATAATAAAATACCACGCAACACATATTGCAGTCACAACAATAGATATAATGAAGGCATGTCTCTATCTGTGTTAGTATATATTTATACGGCATATTCCTGAGTTCATTTCATTGTAGACTTACAGGAAGAAAGTCACTAACTCAATATCATCCACAGTCTTCGACATTGCAAACACGACTTATTGGTCAATTTAAATCAACATTGATGTTGTTATCTTACCGTGAAAAGATGGACTTCTGGTATCCAATATTTAAGACAAAATGAAAAATTTAAAATTGGCACACGATTCGCGTGCCAGAATGCTTTCGGGTGCCATTTGTAATGAAGCAACTCGATGAACGAGGCTAAACATATCCCATAGGAGAATACTACCGATGTAGACAGGAATAACTAGACGCCAGAGACTGCCATTCAATTTGGACCCTTCGCGTATTTCGCCGAACATAACTGATTGGAAATTATTGTAAAATCAGAAACGATCGAATGTAAATCAGTTTATATATACATTCATATTACATTATTATATGCGTTGCGACCCATTTGTGTCCATTTCTAGATGTCAACGATTTAGCTGCTTTAAAGCAAAATGGAAGTACTTATAAACGGATTATTAGAACCATAATAATTGAATCACAATTACTTAAAAGAATGAACATAAGACCCAAGAGTATTATTAGCGGACATGTGTTGTACTTTATTGCAAAAAATGTCAACATCTCTTGTTTTATGAATAAAAGAAAGTAAATGTGCCGAGATACATCGGGAATGTTCGAATTAGATTGTACTTTTAAAGTTTTTGTGAATACTGGACATGAGAATCACACGAAAAGTATAACCACCTGAATGATACATATTAATTATTTGATAATTATAGATAACAAAGTATGAAACTCATCATTTATGACATATGATAATTATTATGGAGATCTGCAGATTCATTTATAGATTACATTATCTATAAATAATTTAGATATAAAAAAACCAGCAATAGAACAGTAATAAATGGATGTACATCCATAGTGTTGGCACCCTTCTTGCGTCTGTCGAGGTTGTTGAGGAGCACCGCCCGTGACAGTAGAAGCTGACCCTGGATTTGCATTGTCGACCGCTGCCGTCCGTATTGAATAATGTGTGGAACACCGTTTTTCATATTTTAGCGCGACCGTTCCAATATTATTACCGCCTAAAAGTGTATAATAACAACGAAATAAATCGGCCTATAAGGAGGTAAACGGTTACCCGTTTTTACCGTTCGTTAAATTTATGACATTTCATGGAAATAATGGCCCACCTTTCAGAATATGCGTATCTTATGATATGATGCTCTATGATCCATAATATCTTGAAATATTTTTTTTTTCTTTTTCAGAGTTATCTCGCCTGTCCCTGGATTTAAAGCTGTCGTGTGCGTGGTGGACCTATTTTTCTCTAGGGTAAGGGTTAGGGTTAGCGTCTTGTAAACTGACTCTATAACAAAATCCCCGTGTTGGCCTTTATGTCTTCATGATGGAGGTCGTAAATGTACTGAACGGTATAAACGGTTTGCCGTTTACCCCCTTATAGGCCGATTTATTTCGTTATTATTATTTTCGTTGGTTGAATACCGCATGACTGAATATGACCGATGTGGGAGTATTTTGACGATGCAATTTACACATACAGTAGTGCATTAAAATAATTCGTGGAAGAAGATGCAGTAAATATCGATTTGATATAGATAGGCCATGATAACAAACGATCATTATATCTACATCTAGCCTACATATTGATTAAATCCCCCTTTACAGTTCACCATGACATAATCCATTTATAAGTGAACGAGGATTTAATATTTAATGATATACATCTAAAAGCATGTAAGGTCCATGGTATAACAATAGCCTTTAATCTACGTGTTTAGATTCAATCATTATAATGTCTGATGTTTATCACCTATTATCCATTTCATGATAACGTTATTAATGCCATCAACATTTCAATTAATCCCAACAGATATCATAAGTACCAATACAAAACACCTACATTAATACTGCACGAAATTTTAATACCGGACTTATACTATAAAGAAGGCTTACAAATCCATTTCTATTCTAATTGTACGCACGAAAAACGACCCACATCTTATATAACCTTAACATAATATAGATTACCAAACAAATCGTACAATCTCTGATACTTAATTTTCAATAATAACAGGATATTATGTGCACCGTCCTAGTAAATGAGACTCTAATGGGGAAGCGGGTAGTGGGAGGGGGATTCTGTATTCCGTTAACGAATACGTACTTTCCAATTCCTTTGAATGATTATATATTTTTTTTTTAAATTAAATTTTCGAGTAAACCATGTTGAACCGTTGCACACGTCAGACAAGTATAATTTAAGACTTTGAGACATGTATGAATTTAAAGATGCACTGTGTAAGATTTAGATAAAGAGCTAGTAATGTCTTGGAATGGTTATGAATTAATCACTAATGTGTCAACATACTGTTCACAAAACATTGCTTTGATCCATTTAGTAAATGCCTCTCTGATTTAGAAATCGTTTTGACGTTTTTTTTTGCTGTTTAGTATATATATATAGTTCAAAAATTGACAGTGCAAATTGAATAATATCGAAAATAATATTCAAATTACTTAGTTCTGAACGAATTTTCACAGTTTGAAGTTTTGATAAGATGCGTCATAGATTGTTTATTATCGTTTATCATTCAATGGCGATCGTGTTTCAATCTGTTTAAATCTCTGCCATCCGATGCTGTAGAGAGTTGATTATCTTGTCATGTAAATAAATGTCTAAATAATAGTGTATATAACATTTGAAGCCAAAGAAAGACCTACAATAGGCAGATTTAGGTGTTACATGGCGCATCTTTAACTGCTCCATTAAAAAAGGGTCTTTCATCATGTCCGTAATAATGAAGTAGCTCTTATTAAATGATAAAGGACTTCTGAATAAGAACTTCTCTTACAAAGGACAAGTCGATATCTATGGTATCATTAATGACTAATAGTCAATCACAATGTGTTCGTTATCTTAAAGTGTCATCTTAATGACGTGGATGATAAAAGGTTAATATGATGTTAACAGGTCGTGGTGCCTGTCGTCAACCATGTTACTATCATTTAGATAAAGTCAACAGGTAGTGGGTGCTGCTTGATTAATTGTTTGAGTACCAATTTATAATGCTATGATATAAACACTTTGTTAAATTCCTTCTATTAAGTGATCGAAAACTGTCGTCCGGTTCTTCGGGAAAATTGATTGCTTGAAGAATTATTTAGAGATCGTGACCGGCATTTTAACTTTGAAAGAGAAGCCCATGATTTCGATAGATTTGTGACAAATAACTAATACTAGATATGGGTTAACATTCGCTTCCACAACAGAGACGGGATAGCGATATCGCAAACAAAGAATCTATAACCTGGTTTGAATTGTCAATATACATCTGATGGCAAACAGGAAACTATCCACAACGGCCAAGAAAATTAGAGATCCTTATCCAGCAACTGTGTACCGGTTGTCGACTAATCAAGGAGGCAAATTACATCAATTCCACGAAAAATAAATGTTGGACAAGTAATGCAGGACATCAGCGTGATTAGATGTGATCAGGTCTGTAGTCTAAGAACTTTAGGACTACCAACGTACCAAGAATTGTAAACGGACGTGATCGCCATGGTTCAGAAATGGCATAAACATCTTATTACAGGATCTACCCCACTTCTAAAGACCCTTACGCACAAGCGACTTATCGAAATAAATTTGTACCATAATTTACGTTACTCTCAAATTGAATTTTTGAAGTATAGTTGATTGAAAATATTCCCCGGAGAATTTTATTCTTTGTCTCATAGATTTATATAGTTTATTCTCACATTATTGTCCTCACTGAACAACAAAAAAGCTTAGATAATACAGATAATGTAAATAATATGTCCCTTGAAATGGATTTAATGTACTGAAAACGCCACAGACTTGTACTGGCAGAATACAACAACAATAAGACATTAAACAAACATCATATAATCCACATTCAACCGACTTCCGAAACAACTATTCCGTCAGTGCCAAGCACTACGCAACTATATTTAAGGACGTAAGTGATGACCAAGTTCGAAACGAGATGGTTTATGGTTTTGTCGCTATGCTTTATATTTAGCTGATCTCTTTTGGGTGTAAATATATCATAATGCCTTCCTGATATTAGTTTCTGTATAATGTAATATAACACAATACTAATATAAGTGCTGTCTAAATACTTGTATACAACACCCAGGGGGAAACATTCAACTAAATTACCTTCCAATGACAATATTTTACTGATTAACCGACTTGCGAGCTAGGAAAATACTTTTGTAAATGAATTGAAACATTGTTTTTAATCAATTATCAGAAACGTGTCGTCCCTTGATAAAGAGATCGGATCAGATAGTAGATTTCATATTGACTTGCTTGTAGCACTCTGTAGCCAATGAAATACCGTGTGTTTTGGGGTCTGTGAAACAAAATGAAATGAAATTGAGTTACTGTCCTACTGTTCTGCACCAACAGGATTAATGAGGACGGGCTAAAACTATACAGTGATATTGGGGAATTTTTGCCCATACAACAACATTTCATGAAAATCAACTTTCAGAGGTTCTATTGCGTGCACGCCAACTTGTACACGGGACGTCGGTTTCTGTCCAACCTCGGCCCTCTGCAGCTGACAAGGTAAAGCCATCTCGGAATATCCCGAGTTTCTCGGCCAACAAGGTGACCCAAACCCGGAATCCCCGGGCCACTGAGTCATCGCAGCTCCCTGTAAAAAACCCAAAATATAAGACCTGTGTTTCTGAGAAAAACGTCTAAGGGCACCAAAATGTTTAAAAATATAACGTGGGCCAGAATAGATTACGACCTACACAGTTAGCACAGAATACGTCGGAGACATAGTGTAATCTGCTTATTTCCTGTGTCAGCAAATATACCATACAGTGAAGGAAACAGAATAAGTTCCGACTATATCTTATAGTCAGACATAAAAATAACAATAACATATGTTAATTGTTCAAGAAACAACCGCTCACTGTCAATTGAGCTACAATCTAGATTTGTTTACCTATTTTGTTGTCGTTGTTGCTATTTTAAATAAAAAAAAAGAAATAAAAAATAGACAGGGTAACATCTGAAACGATTATAGATGTCATTCCAACTCAAGTTTCCAAAACAACTTGCGCATTCGTTCGGGTTCTAACCACCAAGAACAGCAAGAACATCAAGATGAGCATACCCCTCGCAGTGTTTCGTTTGAATAGACATAATCCCACTCAAACATGTCAGCCCAACGCACAAGTTTCTCAAAAAGACTTGGGCAGGTTTTCCAGATCTAACCACAGAGTATTTCATAAGTCCGGCTGTAGATGTCCGTGAAATATCTTCGGCGTATGGGCGTATGCCGTCTTCATTAGCACAGTCGAAGCAGAACAGAAGGACGTTAAACCCCATTTCATGCCTGTAAATGTACACGATGACCACGTTGCGTGTCTAGGATGTATACATTGTACGTAAAATATGTATTGATATAAGAGAACGATTTCAGAATTCATCAGTCTAATGTTCCTTACACCTATACGAGGTGGTTTTTAATAATGTGAGTAACGGGCATCTTCGGATATCTATAGAAATCGGAACACAATTATGTTATTTTCAAATGAATTTAGACAATGCCTCTACATACTTTTCAGATTCTCTACATAAACACAAAAACATTGCGCTCATTATAGAAACCAATAACAATTATCGGATGTCATAACAGTAAGCGAACAATGTGTTATCACTTCTATTGTTTACTTATATATAGGCCCTATGTAAATATTCTAAATTATAAATATGTGTTTGATCCTAATGAGAACTACAAATGTGATACAAATTGTTAGTCTATCGGAAAATCTCACAAAAAGGCATTTTGGCATTGATTTTGTTTTTATTGTTTACATAAATCTATAATCGTCGGATTACAAGCTTGTCTTGGTTTTCAGTGTGTATGTAGATGCGGAGACTGTAGCCTCGAACATTGAGCATTACGAAGATTATATAACGACCCAAAAAGGGCTCTGCAGACCATCAAAATCTATATCATATATATTCAAAAAATAAAATGTCCCCAAAAGCCTACGAAATCAAAGATTTAAACGAAAAATACGAGCGTATATGTACCAGAGCAGGATCCAAAGCCATGTGCTTTGTCAGGAACCCCAGTATTGCATTCTCGCAGTCATCTTGGAATTTTGGTGTCATGTCAAAAATCGATGCGTAATCCGTCAATCGATGCGTAATTGTCTAGGGAACACTTGAATTGCCGGAGCCTAAGACTTTATTCCGAAGAGCGTTAACGCCAATTAAGAATAGTAACGACAACAAGATGAATAGCGCCCGAGGTCCAGTTCCGCATCCCAAAAAGTGAGGCATCATCATGAATTTGTTCTTGGCTGTTATAAAATTGGTTCCATGTGAAAAATTGCACAAACTGCGACACCTGCCTGTTGTTGTTTTCTTTACGGTATTAAACTGTAGTTTATAAAATATACTATGTTTATCTTACCTGTATGTATATTATAACATCTAGCAGCTTCACCTTCTGCTACAACAAATGTATTAGATTCCTGAAAATATCCCACCGTCTCTACTCTCTGGGATAATTTGATTTCAAAAAGTCTTGAACTAAACTTCATGTGTTTTAATGCCACTGAATCTCCTATCTCCTTCTCACCCTCATCTTTATATGTATTAAAACATTTTAAAAATATATTTCTCATCACCTGAAACCATAAAGAAGAACGGTATTGATTATATTATTTTCAAATTCATCATTGCTCACATAAAAACATAAACAATAATAAGAAGAACAATATTGGTTATGATATAGTACATATTTTGATATACATGTAATTACCTATCTAAATTGATTAATTGCTTTAAAGTGGATAAGTTAAAGGACAATTATCACATATGTGATAGAACTGGTTAAACCCATTCCAAATATAATTTTAACACATAGATCATTGCTACGATAGATGCGTTGTGAAGCTTTCAAGAAAGGGAAGTGACGAACGCAAAAGGAAAACACGGGTTATCCTTCTATATAACTGACTGAAGTGACGAGTGATAACATATACACGGGCGAATTTCTGATGACTAATCATTCCTTCGAAGACCAAAAGTTGTTATGTGAGGCTGTGAGAGAATATTAGAGCAGGAGCCCAGGGGGTTAACCTAGCTGAAAAGTGTACCAATTTTCTCCTATATGGTATCAATGTATGTATATCTGGTATCATCAGAATGTAAGTCTGCCGGGTTTCTGGTGGTGGGTGTGGTATTCCACGCCCAAAATGCCATGTCCCCCAACTAGTCTAGATTAGCTCAAAAGTGTACCACATGAAAATCGCACAGCAATGTACCATACATCTTCAGGTATTACAAAAACACTCTGACAGACATTTCTAGTGGTGGGGTACCCCTGACAGAGCTATGTAATTGCCAGACATTTGTAGTGATGGAGTATCCCTGACAAGAGTTATCTAATTTCCAGACCAAAGCTAGGCTAGATTAGCTCAAATCTATACCACCTAAAACAGCTTTGGAGTTGTTCAGTACCACAACAGGAATCATGAATGACCACTGCCAGACAGTTTGTGAGGTGGGTTGCCCCTAACAGACACGCCCAAAATAACACGACCCCCAACTAGGATAGATTAGTCGGCACTGTTCCTGTGGTCCAAAAAATTAAAAATTATGCCAGGATGCGTAGAATACTAATACCTAGCACATATGGAAGAGGCGATAAACTGCGGTTGTAGGAACAATTTTATTTTTCAAAAACGCATTTTTGCCCAAAAATCAATTTCTTGCAATCGCAGTTTATCGCCTCTTCCATACGTGCAAGGTATAAGTATCCTACGCATCCTGGCTAAAAATCTATGTTTTTTAGAACACGGGAACAGTACCTGCGAAGCTAGCCTAGTTGGAGGCGTGGCATTTTGGGGCGTGTCTGTTAGGGGTAACCCACCGCACAAACTGTCTGGCAGAGGTCATTCATGACTCCTGTGGTGGTACTGAAGAACTCCAAAGCTGTTTTAGGTGGTACAGATTTCAGCTAATCTAGCCTAGCTTTGGTCTAAATATTAGATAACTGTTGTCAGGGATACTCCACCACTACAAATGTCTGGCAATTACATAGCTCTGTCAGGGGTACCCCACCACTAGAAATGTCTGTCAGAGTGTTTTTGTAATACCTAAAGATGTACGGTACACTGCAGTAAGATTTTCATGTGGTACACTTTTGAGCTAATCTAGCCTAGTTGGGGATCATGGCATTTAGGGCGTGGAATACCACACCCACCACCAGAAACCCGACAGACATACATTCTGATGATACCAGATATACATACATTGATACCATATAGGAGAAAATTGGTACACTTTTCAGCTAGGTTGACCCCCTTGGCTCCCGGTCTATGTCTGTTAATTCAAAAAAGTAATTGAATGTCAAAATATGCTAAAATTGTCTATTCAATTTTTCATTAATAGATAATTTCTAATTGATGTTTCAATTATGATTTTAATATATCTTTATTTGTGTTATGTTCATTCGTTAATAAACCCAGTTCGACGTCAAATAATTAATACTTATGTTTCTTATAGATTAAAGCTCATTGAATAATAAATATTGTGAGAGCGCTGTGCTTCGACGTATTAGAGCTACGCACTCCCAGCATAAGAAGTCTTAATATACGTCAAGATAATACAAATAGAGCATTTCAAATTCATCATTGATCACAAAATACATTATTCCTTAAAAATAAATGAAATGAAATGGGGTTTAACGTTCCACCGGGATAATGAAGACGGCCATACGCGATACATTTGACCGGACAGCGGCTCTATAACGGCCTACTCTTATATCGAAATCCAACTGCCAAGGGATCTTTTACGTGCACGCCAATGTGTACACGGGACCTCGGTTTTTACGTTCCATCCGAACGAGTATATCGTTGTCCATTGTCAGGCCCTCCGTCCTGCACCAATAACAAAGCGGAACCACGCCGGAAAATTCCCCGGTACATGTTGGTTAATTTTTCGAAAATATTTTTGTCCAGTCTGTCGCAAGTCTCAGTTTAGCGGACTTTCTCCTGCACACGCATTAATCCTTTGGCATTTGTCGTTTTCATATATTTATATTTTGTAACCTGGTATGGGTTCTTTTTCTTTAAGTTCTTCAAAGAGTAGGTCTAACGTCATGACATAAATATTTAGGATAAACGTTTGATTTTTAAAAAAACGCATTTGAACAGTGTATTATAATATGTACCTGGGGAAGAAACACTTATATAAAGATTATATAAGTGTATAGGGATAAGTATGAGGCCAAGACCCAGGCACTATAACTATATATTGATATTTGTTTATTTTTACGACTGGGTTGCTGCCATTTCGTATATATACTTCTAAAGCACTGGTGCGAAAAGGAATGTAAAAAGTTGCCTTAAGGTGATTTTAGTTTGAAAAATCTCCGAGACATGTCGATTTATCGTGTCACGTTTGTTTAAGATGTGACATTGGTATTTACAATAACCGTGAAGCAGATTAATGGAAGTTGTGTGACGGTTTGTGTCATGACATTTTAGCCGAGTTATTTTTACTACTCACAAGCAGACGTGGAATCGACACCTTGACATCCCAATCCGTGAGAGTTTTGTGTTCTTTGGTGAGAGATCGTGAAATGTGTTTGCATCACGATGCATCAAGCAGACAGGTTGGCAACAGCCGCATGCGAAAATATCCCAGTTAATTCCAACATGCACAAATGCTAACTACTATCTCTTATGATGGAACAGAAATTAAACCCCGGGATAAAAACAGTTTAACGTGTCGATTGAATTACCCAAGAACGTGTCTTCTCGCCATCAGACAGAATAAATGTTATTATCATTGCCTATTACTCAAGACGAACATTTTCTTGCTTAAACTGATAAAATACGATATAGATAGACTAAGCTAACTACCAGTTTATGGTGCCTAAAGCCTAGGGTTATTTTCTGTAAACTAAATATATATGTTCTGTATTCAGGAACAGACATGTTCTTATGTATTAGTTCTATTCTGAATGTACAGATTGCTGACAGAAATATTTTATTATGGCGTCAGTTTTATATGTAGACACATGGACAGGACATCACCAATGTTAATACTCGGCTTGAATCGTTATCATCTGTTTTACTTGACAGATGAATGAATAAAAGAAGCCCATGGAAGACATAATAATGAAAGTAAAAAGGCAGTGCTTTTCTTGAACGGATTTCTTGAATTGATACCATGGCTTCTTCGTGAATTAACATCATATTGTTTAACGTAAAATGTCTTATTTTACAAAGTACACCAAGCGCTGGACTCTAGGTAGTGTCCATAACTGAAGCCAGGGGCAGCAAACTTATGTGCATCGATCTCCATAAATATTATTTGTAGCGCCGCTGTTCAGAACAAATTGTCCCCCGTAGCCAACTGCATGGCGGAAACCGATCTTTTTAATTAACTCGGATGGAGCTAAACCCCATTATAAGTCGCCCGATTAATCTATTTGCGAATTAAAACACCACAAAAGAACAACAGGAATAACGTTTTACCGACATCATTTAATGTTTCTTATCCCTTGTTCGCACCATGTCAATATACTAATAACACCTAATATAACAGTATAAGCCTGTTGACATTTCCTCTTATATAATACCTCTTATATAATACCTTAGAGGGTTATTCATAAAATACTAAATTACAAGTTTTATAAAACTGTGTGATAGTAGTTTTATATATACACATAAAAGGTGATAATTAATAGAAATTAATAACTATTAAATAACCGCAGATAAAACAAAAATTTGTGATAGTTATTGCCTTTCAGTAAACACTTTCTCAATTCTATTCACAGTTAAATTTCGTTAAGATCTCTACTGCTGTCACGAAACCTTTACAACTGTAGATATTGTCATACTATAGACCATTATAAAATCATTTTTTCTTTCATAAGATTATTAAGTTCAAATTATTGTAAAGAAATGGGGTAAATAAAATATAAAATATCTGGTTGCTTCCAGTAAGTGTTTGATGAAAGTTTAAACTAAATGGTCTGTATTTGGTTAATGTGATATAGCCCTCTTTCATCCAGGTATTAATAAACCAGGAAATAGTTTTCACGATCTGCCTGCAAGAACTTATGTGAACACACTTATTAAGCACGGGTTAAGATGGCATTATTCACCAAACCCCTGAATTGCAGTTCAGTGTACACCTGGCGAGGTACATAATATTGGAGTTACCAAACCGGCCTTCCTAGACATATTATAATATCTCTTCACCGTTAAAACACGTGTTTTTGTTTTTAAAACTAATTAAACACGAAGGGCGTATTTCAAGAGAGTATAGAAGTAAGCATAAAAACCAACAAGAACGTGGCGTGATTACTTTCTAGGATCTGATATTCTCTAACAACAAAGACATGATTCTCTGATAAAATAGTTCTTTTTTATGGGCTAATTAAATACAAGTATTATAGAAACCTGCTGTAAAATCTAATTAATCTGGTGTAATCAACAAAGAATAAAAATGGAATGAAATATCTCACGAATAATGAATGGATGGAATGGGACTTAAGCTTCTACTTCTCTGCTGACGAAGATGGGTTTACGTGACAAAGTATAAGCTCGGAGGGAAATTTTGAACGGACAGCAATTGAATTCCAACTGCTAATGGTTCTTTTACGTGCATA